CCAACCCAAATCCACTCAATGACATTTAATCACTTCATAGCAGGAAACAGAGCACAAATTGATAACAAAAATTTAAAAATTCATTCCATGAAATACAACTGGACATCTGACATGTATGCATACACCCATTCATTCCCTGATATTGGAAACAAAATATATGTAAAAATTAATTCTTCAGCTTAAAAACGGTTTGAAAAATGTGACCACAGAACACACAAAACAAATCCCTTCCTGAGTAACACTGTCTTATCTTCCATTCACCAGCACTGGTAACACTGAGGCTCAAGAAGATGAGGAGCAGCGCAGCCGAGACTGACTCAACCACCGTAAAATCGAATATCGACCCCTCGAAACTAACCGGGTGCCACTCGAAAGTGTCTCACACCACATCAACCCCCGCAGCAGATCCCTTGAATATCCGTCAACGTTTACCCCTGCTGAATATGATAAGGAGGACGGTAAATGCTTTCCCCCCGAAATGGAAACGCAGGAGTCCGGAGCCAATGCACTGCACGTACTTCACAACTGTGCGATGTTCCATGGTTCAGTTTATAGGGGGAAGGAAAAGCGCAGGCCCAAAATGTTGCCCACGTGTTTCGGTTACGACCCCCTATTGCACAAAAAAAAAAGTCATCTGATAGCCACTGTGCGAGGGTGGAAGGAAAGGAAAGATACGACAACAGCATTTATGGAGGAAAGGGAGAAAACAAAAAGAAAAGTAAATAAGGCGGGAGACTGATACTGCAGCATATGTAGGGGCATTCAGAAAATCAAAACACTTTTTTTTTCAAATATAGAGCTTATCAAATACTATACCCAACAAATAATTTGTTACAGGAAGGGCTGGGCATAACAGTTATGCATTGTGTAACGCATTTGTTATGCATATCTGTTACGCCCAGCTTCTTCTATTATGCCTTATTTTTTTTCTTGGGTAGTGTAATGAAAAATTCTTTTGCAACACATTGCAAAAGAATTTATATATTTAATAAATATGTTATATATAGCATATTTATTCTGTAATACAACACTAATAAGCAAAAGCAGTTGTATTAGTGCAAAGTAAAATGATTACACTTTCTCTGAAAAAAAGTGATCCAGAAGCGTCAAATAGCACATTTGATTCAATACGTAAATCGCATATGATACCTTTTAAAACTAAATACAAAAAATTAATTGAAGATGAACAAACCATTTCAAATCTTAAGAATTTATTTGTAATATCGATTAGTCTTCTTAAACACCGAAATCATAATGAAAATAATACCCTGATGCATTCACAATAAGTTGAAACAAAGCTACCAAAATGCATGCTGTGGATTAAAAGTAGAGATAGATATTGGCTGAAGGTTATAGATTTCAATTCTGCCAAACAATGAAGATCTATAATCATGAGTTTTTTGTTCTTAGTTGAATTTTGTTGAATGATGGTGTATTTTGTCAGATAAGTGGATTGCAGATCCTATTATCCTGTAATTTTCTGGCGGGTGCTTAATGAATCAAGCCTGGCTCCAGGTAATAATGCAATAATACTTTTTTGTCTACTTTTCAAATGAATGAATGAACAGAACACTTTATTTGCCACTTTTCAGCGTTCACAAGGTTCAATCAAGATTCCAACAACCAAACCCCCTTCCCACCCAACCCAAATCCACTCAATGACATTTTAATCACTTCAGAGCAGGAAAGCACAAATTGATAACAAAAATAAACAAAAATACAATGCAGCATGAAATACAACTGGACATCTGACATGCATGCATACTGTTTGAAGAAATATATTGCGTGATTGTGTATATTGTATAGTATACTTCAATGCAAAATATGAACTTCTTTATTGTTGAACCAGACCATTTGGTAAAAGTTAAAGAAGAGCATTGAATTTCTTTTTCCTACAGTACAGTCAACCCTGTCAAACAGGCTTAATTTGTGCAGTGGACAAGTCTGTTAGACAAAAAGTCCTTTAGACAAATTCAATTACATAAAACATTAAAATTTGTAATTGTGAACACTAACTTCAAACCAACAGAAGTCTGTTGGGTGGATTTTGTCTGTTGGGCAGGAGGAAAAACTGCCTGCAGAGCTGGTCTGTTAAGCAAAAATCCCTTACATGGGAGGTCTGTTAGGCGAAATGCCACTTTACTATGAATCAAAAGTTGAATTTTGACTACAGCGTCCTACCAAAAATAAACTCAATCCTTGTGGTAAGCTATAAAATGTCAAATAGGCAAAAAATGCAGCAGTTTGTTGCACAAAAAGCATAATTGCAGAATAAGAGTTCTTCATAAATCCATAGATTATCATTGAATTGAATATACGTGCAGCGTAATTTATTTTCCGGAGAAGGTCTTAGCACGTATAAGTCGTCGCAATGAGAATTCTGGTGCAATTTTAGAAATTCTTCATTCCAATGAAAAGGAACTTTTTCTGATCCCCGGAATTCTCCCCTTGGGAGGCGGAAATGCTCTTATATAGGGGTCCGCCCAAATTGCGAGGGACTCGGATGCAATATAATAGATGAGGAAAAGA